TTTGTGTAGAAATGTGAGTTTCTGTTAGGTTGATTCTAGTTTTATTCACTGTGATCTGAGAAGTACATGGTATGATTTCTTTTATTAAATTCTTGAGATTTTCTTTGTGTCCTAGGATATGGTCAATCTTAGAGAATGTCCCGTGAGCTGATGAGAAGAACGTATATTCAGTGGATTTTGGGTAGAATGTTCTGTAGATGTCTGTCAGACCAATTGTTCTAGAGTTTTGTTTAAGTCCATTATTCTTATTAATTTCTTTGGAGGATCTGTCCGTGCCGTCAGTAGGGTTGAATCTCCGGCAATTATGAGGTTGCTATTAATCATTTCTTAGCTCCAGTACGGTTTGCTTTATGAATCTGGGTGCACCTAAGTTGGGTGCATATATTTTAAAATTGTTATCTCCTCTTGTTGGACTGTGCCTTCACCATTATATAATGACCTCTTTGTCTTTTTACTACTTTTGTTGGTTTAAAAACTAAATCGTCTGAAATTAGAACTGCCACACCAGCTTCTTTGGTTCTATTGCTTGGAATATTGATCTCCACCCTTTTATTTTTAGTCTATGTGCATCTTGCAGGTTAAATGTTTCCTGACAGCATATACTTGGCCTGTATTTTATCCATTCAGCCAGCCTATGTCTCTTGAGTGGAAGTTAAGCCATTCACATTATTGAGAGACTGATAGGTAAGGTTTACGACATTCTGTTGGGTTGGATGTTGTTGCTATGATTCTGTCTTGAGCCATTGTAATATCTGGCCTTAATATCTTTGGGTTTTGGTTGTTTATATCCGTGGATTATTATTATGATGTTCCGTGCGTAACGCTGTTTTAAGTACTTCTTGTAGGGCTGGTCTTGTCTTGGTGAATTCTCTGAGCCTTTGCTTGTCTGAGAATGTTTTATTTCTCCTTCATATATGAAGCTTAGTTTGCAGGGAATAATATTCTAGGCTGGGCATTGTTTTGTTTCAAAGAGTGAGAATGGCCCAGTCTCTCCTTGCTTGTAAAGTCTCATTAGAGAAGTCTGATGTTATTCGAATTGGCTTTCCTTGTATGTCACTTGCTTTTTTGTCTTACAGCTCTTAGAAGGCCTCTTTAGTTGATACTTTGGTCAGTCTGATGACTGCATGACGTGACGTCTTCCTGTTTGCATTGAATCTCCCAGGGGTCCTCTGGGCTTCTTGAACTTGTATATCGAGATTTTGAGCAAGCCTGGGAAATTTTCCTCTATTATATCTTCAAAAAGCTTGTCCAGCCCTTGTGTTGTCTCTTCCCCTTCGCTAAAACCTATGACCTCACGTTAGTTTTTTCACATAATCCCACAGCTCTTGTAGGCTTTGGTCTTTTCTCTTGTTCTCTGCTGTTTTCTGTGACTGATTTATTAATTGGAAGGTGTTATCTTCAAGCTCTGAGATTCTTTCTTCTGCTTGATCACCTGTTCTTGAGACTTCCACAGTATTTTTGTGTTCTCTGAGTTGATTCTTCATCTCCAGGACTTCGGTTAAAGTTTTCTTCACTGTGTCAATCTCTTTGTTGAACCTTTGTTCCATTTCTGAGGTTTTTGTGTTTTCTGGTTGGTTATTGAGTTGTTGTTGCAGCTGGGTGAGTGTTCTTATGATCCACATACGAAATTCTTTTTGTCATATTGTTTGCCTGATTTTGGTCGGTGTCCGTTTCTAGGGGCTGTGCTCCTCCTTGGGTGTGTTTTCCGTTTGGTTCTTCATATTCCTGAGTTCTTCGCTGACTTTCTCCCATGTCGATCAGTTGTTGTTTCTTCCTAGGTTATTGTTTGGGTATTCACACACCTTGTTTAGTTTCTGAGGCGTTAGGTGGTGCCTGTGGGTGAAATGGACCACTCCTGTATATTGAGTCAGTGGATGCCGTGGAAGGCGTGCAAGATGGCCGCCCTGTCAGTAGGTGCGTTTGCTTGGAGGAACAGGCTATGGTGTTGATTTTGAGTCCTGTTATCAGCTCTCGTTCTGGCGGAGTGGGTTGGTAAGCCTCCCTCAGGCCGTTAGCAGGGGTCAAAGTTCTGTTCTCAGCTTACAGGAAAGCTGTCAGGGCAGCGCTGAATGGTCCCGCTCAGCCAGAAAGTCTGGAGGTGGGGGTGGGGCTGTCTGAGACCCGCAGTCTGCAGCAGGCTCGTTCTTTCCACCCTCCCAACTCTTCAGCTACTCCTGGCCTCTGCCAGCAGCCAGACCACAAGCCACCAGGCCTCCCCGGACTGTGGTGCCGGCGGGAGGTTCCCTGACAGGAACCCACCTGGGTTGGCGCACGGCCTCCTCCTGAGGAGGGTTGCCCTCTAGGACGCCGATCCGCCCCTGGAGGCACACAGCCTCAGTAGGCTGTTTGCGTATAATCCTTCTGTGCCCGGGGCAGATGCTAGCCCTCGGCGCAGGGTCTGGTCTGCAGGTCCGACCTCGGGTCCCAGAGTTCAAACTGTATTCCCACCAGGGAGAGGATTTCCGGTCCTAATTCACCACAGGGAGCCCAAGCTGGATCTATGTCTCTCACCTCTGAGTCGGCACCGTTTTCCTGGGAACACGGTGCACAGCACCTGGAGGGGGGCGGGTCCCAAACGGGAAGTCCGTTCCCTGGAGGTGCTCCGGCTGGTGGCTGTATTGTCTCTCTGGGCAGCCGCAGGTAGGTCGGCGGAGGGAGGAGGAGGCAATATGGCGCCTGCGCGCGGCTCGGTCCGTGCACACGGAGGTGCCCGGAGAAGTTGGAACCTGGTGCCACGTCTGCTACAGGCTCACCGTTGGCAAGCGGCAGCAGTCTCTGGCTGATGTCCGCAGTCTCTCCACCCACTGGGAGCCCGTCAGCAGTCCCGAATGCAGGGAGGGGAAACAGCAATTCCACCTACCCTTGCGCTGGTCTCCGGGCTGCTCCGTGGTCTCAGCCTCCAGTTCTCCTCCGCAGCCTCCTCCCGTGGAGTCTCCCGGGTCTCAGGTACCCCTCCTTCCGGCCCTTGTCGCTTGTCCGCTGTATGCTCGTCTTCTTGCTTCTTTCCTCTAGTTTCTGCTAGAATTGGTCTTTTCTGTAGAGACCCTCTGTCTGGCGGTGTTATTCGTCCGCCATCTTGCCACCCAGCATGCTTTAAAAGGACACCACTTGAATACAGAGCCCATTACTTTGCAATAACCTAAGTCTTCTAGAAAAGACTTGTTTAGATTCTAAGGGATTGAAAAAAAGTGGATTCATGTGATTTCCAGCATAATATGACTTCAGCACACTACCATATCTTATTCCTAACTAACCAGAGTTGGGGGGAAAAGGGTGGTAAGAAAATGGCAGATATGTCTGTGTGTGAGTGTGTGTATGTGTATGTGCAGATTGGGTCCCACTACCATAGGAAAGGTGCATGGTTAGTGCTCCCACTCCTTGCCAACATTGCCTTTCCCTTTGGTCATCTGACCTGGCAGAATCTGCACAGACAACTGTGTTAGCATCCTCTCTACATGGACAGCACAGGGCCAGGCTTTCACATCCTAGATATATGTGAGAGGTGAGTTGGGCCAACCAGACATATATTTCATGTTTTTTCATTTTCACCTATTTCCTAGATTTTTTCCTTTTCTAGCATTTGCCAAAATTCAACCTCAGGCACAGATGGTGAGAAAATGATTTTTGCCTACCAAGCCAAAGAATATGCCCAAATATTAATGGTTATTTATCTAGCAACAGAGCCTGAGACTTAATAAATGAAGGCTTAGATTTCCAACACTTGCATCTAAATGTGTGGAGTGTTTCATTTTTTTAAAAAAAATGCTTTTAATCACATTGAGTTGATATGCATAGAGGGGTTCAGTATGCTGAATATCACTGGTCACTCAGAACGTCAAGTCCATTATTGGATTATACATTGTCTCTGTTAAAAGTAGTTGCCTCTGCATTCTAATTATGGCAATAGTCTCTTCTTCTCCTGAGCCCTTATCCACCTCTAGGATTCACAAATGTGAAAGTCCCTGAATGGATATTTTTAAAAAAGGTCTGAACAACCCTCAGGTTGTCAAATGGCTGCTTCAGTGCTCTCCATATTAAATGATATTTCTATAGTTTCTATAGCCTGGAAAAGTCTAGGGGAGTACAAGTTTGGTTCTAATTACATAATTATGTTACAGAAATATGAAAAAAAATCATCCCTAAACCCTCCAGGTGCTTAAACAATTTGATAGACTGTAGCAATTCTGCATCACCCCCAGCTGTGTTGCTTAGCAACATTTTAATTCCAGAAGAATGAAGGGAGATGAAATCCCTGTGGAGAGGGAAACAGAAATAAGAGGGCTGTTGACAGATGATCTGAGTTGTTTCTTCTAATATACTGTGAAGATCACTAGCCCTTTTCATGAATGATAAATGGACTGTACGCAGATCAATGGGTTCAGCAATAAACTTGAACCAGGCTCCATGTCTAAGGCGATGCAGGCCGAGACGCCTAGAGATTTCTTCATTTTGATGATTTGGTGTGCATTTTTTAAAGGCTCCACAGGAGGAAATTGATCTCAGTATTTAGTCATTCTTTGCCCTTTTGTAGTGTCTGCTAATAAAAATGATTTTGGAAATGGACACTTCGGTTTCTATCACAGTGTAAATATGGCCAGGTGTCAATAGTAATACTAGGGTGAACCGTTCCTACCCCAAATCTAAAAATCCAGGCTATGCCCACGACCATTCCCTCTGCACCTGCCTCCCCAGCCTGTCATTATGACCCAGTCAGGCCCACACGGGGTGAGATTAGAGTGAAAGGCAGGAAGAGGAGGACCTAGTTGTGCCCCTCACAATGGCCACTTGTGTTGGAATGCCGCACTTGGACAGGTACCCACATTCCCCAGGAGAAGAAAATTGCTTTCTCAGTCTGCAGTCTGCTTATCTCCAGCAGCCTGCTTCAGTTAGCTTCTTCAGTTTCTGAAGAGCATTTTATACTGCTTATTGTTTGGGTAACTAGTTACAATGATTATGCCTGCTAATGTTGTCTAATTGCATTTTTTTTCTTCTGTTTACAGGCTGTTGAAAAGGCAAAACCTAGGAATAATCCTGTGAAGTAAGTTATTATTTTTATTAGTTGGAAATGTTAATTTAAATGGACTTCTTGCATGTAAAAAAATAAGGTCATAAAAGAAACCTTGGATTTTGAGTTAACCTCTATTCATGACAATTTAAAGATAAAAACAAAACAAGCAAAAAACCTACAATGAGGAGGGATCAGCTTATATTTTTTCCCTGTGTTCCTGATGCCCCAAGTTGTACTCAGTTTACATAAATTGATATGTGCCATCCATGAATAGCTGCCACATACCATTATAATCATATTTAATGCATAGAACTTCAATTCAAGCCTTTGGGTTTTGCACATGCTAAAAAGATTATGTTTTTAATTGCAAACCTTGGACCTATGACAGAGATGTAAATGAGTGAAAGTGTGCCAACTGATTTCCAGCCACATGGGGAGGTTTGGCACCTTGGCATCACAGCCTCAATATTCTGTTAATGAAAAGCTCATAAAAATATATTTAACTAAAGATATATTTTTTCACTAAATTTAACTAAAGGTATTTTTTTTTACCTAACAGAGAGTGATTCCCAAGGCACTTTATGGGAGACTCTTAAATCATAAACAAGCTGCAGAGCACTCTTTTAAATATAGTACAACTTAGACATCTTGTCTCTTCCAGAAGGGAGACTTTGAAATTAAGAAGGATGGTTGTCTTGTCATTTCAGTTTGTGACATCTGATTGCAGTATCACAATGCATACCAGTCCTGCCAGCCATGTGGCTGAGGGAGGACCTGCTCTGTTTGTTGGGTTATTATAGGTCTGGTAATATCACATCTCTAGGAACAATTTGTTAATTTATTTCAGTTGACTTCCATTATAGTTGGTACCAAATACAGAAATGGGGAATGTGTTGATTTTTAATAGTTTCTGGGGGAATGGATCAGCTAATGCCAATGACTAGATGGCTGCTTAGTTTTGTAAAAGTATTAACTTTATCAGGGTACCAGAGTAGTGTTTAGCATACCATTAAATCCAAGCCTTAATATACTATTCAAAACGGTATTATGTAATTTATTACTAAATTTTATTTTTCCTAGGACACAGAACATTCCCTATTAGGCTTCTGTAGTCTCTATATGGGCATCTGTAGTCTGGAGGCATATTATGTTATAGTCTTCTGGATATATTTGTAGTAGTTGAGTTTGTGTCTGCTCATTCAGTTGGGGTTGAAATCTCTGTAGCCTGATTTCTTTTCTGTCTGTTTGCCCTGAGGGCTCCTCCACTGTGAGCCTGTGGCTGGTGAGCCTTGAGAATCAGAGGATGGTGCTAATGAGGCTAGGGCCAGTGTTTAGTCCCTGGGTGGGCCATTAGTGATCTTTCCCACAATCTGACTGTACCCCTCCCTCCAGTCTGCCTGCATGCAGATGTGTGCCTCAGGTCACAAGGTGTGGGACAAAGGCTGGAGAAATGTAAATCTGGGACCTTGATGAGGCAAACATCTCTAAGCTCCAGCCCTCTCAATAGGAAGTAAGTACTGAGCTCCATCTTGGCATGCATAGGACAACCCACTGACACTATGTGGGGCTGCATTAAATAGTATTTTAATGGCCTGGAAATGGGACCAGTTTTCTCTTTGCTTCTTGTGATAATTTGACCTCATAACAGTTAAATTTTTATGAGTTCCTATTAATTCACAGTGCAGACTCTATCTAATGTCTATCACTTTAAGAAATGTTATAAAAAGAAGACAGGAAGACTAGAAGAGTCAAAGGATTACAGAGCCTTTTACCTTTAAGTATATTTCAAAATCTGATCAGTAATAAACCTAAGTGACAACTAACTGGTAGGTGTTCAGAATTGTCTTCTAATTAAGAAAGATATTGTTCCCAGTGTGAGTTTGGGTGTCCTGTTGCATTTGTGCTCACATGACCAAACTCAGTCACAAGCTCTATGGGCACTTGAAGAAGAGAGGCTTCCTCAAGACCTCAGCTCAGGGAGAGAAACTCCAGAGCATGGTTCAGTTACACTGCCTGATGGAAGAACAGAGTCACAGTTTTTAAACATTTTATATATAGTGGTCCTCTTGCCATTTCTGTTGTCTGTCACAGAATTTCAGTTATACACAGTGTACTGGGATCTCAAATACAGTAAAGGTTTGATGCATGTTTCTGAATGAATGAACAAGTAAAGGAATTGGACACATCCCCGAAAACGGTCCTTCCAGGAACCTGGCCTGGAGACTTAATAAGGCTGAGGGTTCTCCTCTAGTACAGTGTCACCATCAAGTCAAAAAGACCTGTGTGTTATAACTGAACAAGTCATCCAGTCTCTGTTATTCTTGACTCATACCACATGTAAAAATGTTCCCATGTTGCTCTGGTTCATTCTAGCTGCTTTGCCTCTGATTAGTTCATTGTTTGAACTTGTATGCAAGAAGTAATATTGGATTGTCTTTAGAGCATACAATGGAAAGTGTGTACAGTTTTGCTAGAAAGTAGAGGTCCAGTGGCATCATTTACAACTGAAGTATGGAAACAGATTAGTGAAGATGATCATATATGTGATTTGATATAGTCTTTTGGTGCAGAGTTTGGCAATTGGTTGGAAAAAAATCAAAAGAAGAACATTTCATGACGTGAAAATTATAAGAAATTCAAATTTCAGTATCTATAAATCAAGTTTTATTGGAACATGTCCACGCTCATTCATTTCCATATTGTCTGTGGCTTCCTTTGTGCTACAATGACAGAGTTAAATAGTTGTGACAGCTGTAGCCTACAAAGCCAAACATTTTTACCATCTGGCCCCTTATAGAAAGTTTGCTGACTCCTGCTCTAATAGGTTAGGTAGAAAAAGGCACTAAGATTTTTTGTGATGCTGAAGGTTAAAGTATCAATCCTTTCTCTTATTGGCCTTTAAAACAATGAGTAGATATTTGTTGAGCCCTTCTTTTGTGTTTAGGACTTTCTGGGGTGAATGTGCCACCTAATTATCATTGATAGCGAAGACAGACTCACTTTTCACTCAGTACCTTTGAAAATTGTATGGATATGAGATCTACTGACAGGGCAGTGATGCTTCAGAAACTAGTGAACACATATCTATAGCATACTTCTAGTCTTCCAAGTTGTGTGTATATGGGTATATGTCAAAGGGTATATGGATTTTCTATAATCCTGTTACTTCCACATCTAACTGAAGCTAAGTAAGCTTTCAATTAGAGTGATGGTAAATGATTCACAATATCCATTTAGTTTGTATATTTTCCTCTCTAAAAGTTTCACCTTCCTCTCCCTCTTTCTCAACCACTTGTTCAGTTTATTTTTAATACTTTCATGGTCGTAAGCCTCTTTCATCACCATAGGGAGATTATGGTAGACACTAATTACATTCCATATAAAGGAGAAATTAAATATATGCCTAGTGAATGTAAGCACATAATGTACTTGGATACACTAATGACTTTCCCTTGAAACATTAAATATTACCTCTGAGAGTACAACTCAAATGTGAATGTTCTTAACATCAATGATCAGTACAAGAGAAGTCTGGTATATTTCTCACTATATTAAAACCATACTGGCATTGAAGCTTGATTAGTATGTTCAAACAGTGGCTCTTTAATGTGTCAGAGAGACTTTCACTTGTATTTTAATATTCTTCAGCAATCATCTCTAAGATTTCATTGTGACAACAAGGCCTGAGAGATGTACAGATTTCTTCTGCCATATGTGACTTATCACATATATTTTTTTAAAAAAAACACCTTTCAGTTATTAAGACATATGTGATAGAACACTTCTGAAAATGTGAATTGCTTTTGGCTAAAAGCCATGCACTAATAAGTTGAGTTGAATCTAACTGAGGTTGACATCTGTTACGGAAAGAGAGAGAGAGAGAGAGAGAGAGAGAGAGAGAGAGAGAGAGAGAGGAGAGAGAGAGAAACACTGTTATCAAGCATAATGTTATCAAGCATAAAATTCTTCCCTGCTTTTACACTTTAACAACATTAAATAACGTGGTGGTTGTCTTTCACAAATCAGGATCAGAATCCACTCTGCTTAGGAAATTACATTTTTATTTAGGAACTGATTCACCTTATAGATACAGTGCTTCCATTATTGAAAATGACAAATAGCCACAAAGATTTTTCTGGCTATGATGTTTGTACATTATTCATCCAATGAATATTTATTTAGGTTCCATGATATTCTGGGAACTGTGATAGATGCTAAGGGAATTAAAAATAAATCCGACACAGGTCTTACCCTCGAGGAGTTTAGAGTCCAGCAGGAGAGATAAAATTGATCTGTAAAAAATTAAATACAAGATAGAGAGATGTCTGTTAAGTGGGTAACAGATAAAGTACAGGGAGGCTCTAAGGAGAGAAAGTGCTTCTAGTTAACACTAATGGTGGGAGGGAGAAGAAGAGACATTTACGCCAGGACTTTAAGGATTGCTGGTTTGAGTCATTGGTGCTGAGGTGAGGCAGAGTGAAGCAAGGAGCTCAGGCTGCCTGATGGTGCACAGGCAGTGAAAGGTCAAGTTGGAAACTGAGGCCAAGAAGAAATGGTAGCTTAGGGCCCTCAGGGCTCATCCAGGTGAAAGAGATTGACTTGGTAAAGTCAAATGGCATTAAAGAGCTCTTCACATGTTACTGAATGTGAATTATCAATTAGTCCTCTAATTATTAAACGTAAACAGAAAGTTGATAGGCCCAGGTTCTAGTCTTGAGTCTGATATTAGCTTGTAGTATGTAGTCACTTTCTTGCCACAGGCCTTAGCGAGATTATTTACATGGTTGTTCCACCTCTTTAAAAAAGCTGAAGCTTGAAAGCCTGTTCCATAGTTATGCTCATTTTAGGACATTTGCTCTGTTAGTTTGGTGCAGACTCATGCATATACATAGATTATGTGTGTGTATAATACATCTGTGTTTCTCTTTGCACTCACGTGTGCATATACACACATAGTGCCTTTCCCCATCATTTCTACCTTATACACTTTTGAAAAGAAGGACAACAAGCTACATTATTAGAATTTTCAA